CCGGGTCCATCCTCACCTCCCCTTCCGATATAATAAGGCCTAGATATTCAATCTGTTGTTGTTCGAATTCACACTTCTCCAGTTGTAGGTATAGATCATGCTTCTCCAACCGGGTTAGTACTTCCCATACCACTTGTCGATGCTCCTGAAGATCACTGCTTGTCACGAAGCGGCAGAGGCGGAGTGACTAGCAGAGCGGGAAAGCGGAGTGACTAAGCAAGGCGATGAGGGGGAGCGACTAAGCGGAGCGGAGGCAAACTGGTCCCAGATAATGACAGAGATATATTGAGTATCATAGTCATAGGTAACAATAAGTAAGCACATACCTGGTCCCAGATAATGACAGAGAGGTCAAGATAAGGGACCAGGCTGTGAGGGATTGGCTTTATATACATAATCCGATCTGCGAGAAATGACGATGTAATACTGTACAGTTAAGGAACAAGGAAGGTGGCGGAAGCCAGTAGAAGGAGAAGGGTAACAGGTGGATCAGTAATCAATGGGATTTGACAGTGATGTAATCATACAAGTAAGGGCGTCGAGATAGTGAGAAAAGGAAAATGATAGGGGCTACGTACTTCATGACACTGCTGAAGATGAGGATGTCGTCTAGGTAAACCGCTACCTTTCCAGCTGCAATGAGGTCTGCAAATATAGCATTCATAAGTGCTTGAAACATTGCAGGGGAGTTGGTGAGACCAAAGAACATAACCTTAGGCTCGAACAGCCCTCGTGTGGTTGCAAAGGCCCCTTTCCATTCGTGACCTTCCTTGATTCTGACGTTGTTATAGCCCCAGTGTACATCAAACTTGGTGAAATATCGAGCCCCTTGAAGCCGACTAATTATATCAGCCACCAATGGGAGGGGGTAGCGGTTCTTCACCGTATACTCATTCAGTTTCCGGTAATCCTGTACAAAACGGAGTTTCCCATCCTTCTTCTTCACAAAGAAGACTGGGGACGAGATGGGTGATTTGGAGGGAACAATGTAGCCTTTCCGCAGATTCTCTTCCAGGAAGCAATCCAACTCCTCCTGCTCGTTTAGGGACATGGGGTAAATCTTGGTGCGCATGGTCGCTGGTGCTCCAGGTATGAAATCAATTGCATGGTCCCAAGGTTGGTGGGCAGGTAATCGTTCGGAGGCGGATTCTGAGAAAACCTTCTTGAAATCACGGTACTGCTCAGGGACCATTTCTTCAAAGGTTTTAACAGGTTTGTCTTGGTTGGCTTCCTCCGCTAGCTGCTGGGAGTAAGTGAATCCTGCGGCGCACCAGACTTCCTCAGTCTGTTCCTCTAGGATTCCTGCTTTTACCCATGCCCGGCAAGTTTTATGATTGGCTTGGATTCAGTGTATTGGCAGTTCCTCCACCACTGCTGATTCGCTCTCTTCAAGGGTCGCTTCCAGTGGCACCTCAATGTGAGGGGGTTCAATGGGAGGTTCCAGGTTCGGGAGTTCAGGGGTTGGGCTTTCTGTGTTAGTGGCGACTAGATGAGAATATGAGATCTCCTCGTCTGGGACTTCTTCTATAGCTACTTGAGGGGGCTTTACTGAAAGTCGTCCTTTCTCCCAGTCGATCTCCGGACTTACCTTCCGTAGCCAGGGGAGTCCAAGGATGACGTCTTCACCTCCTAGGTTGGTGATCAGAAAGTCCATCCATCGTTCTTGATTATCCACTGTAAGTGCTAGGCATGCAAAATGGGTTATCCGTCCAGCTCGGTTAGGTGTTCCATTGATATTGAAAATGTCGATTGGTTTATGAAGGGGTGCACATCTTACATGGTTCCGGGTGGCAAAGTCTTGGTTTAAAAACAGGGCGGTAGCTCCACAGTCTACCATGGCTGCAGTTGTTATACTATGATTCCTTCCTCTTAGTCTCGCATGAATTCGGAAATGTGGGGAAGTGGAGTTCAATTCCCGGATCGACGATATTGTACATGATGGGTGCGAGTCATACGAAGAAGTAGCGAACATAACAAACTGATTACGGGGTACTCTCGGTGCAGCCGAAGCGGGTACCCTCTTTAAAAACCCTGTTGAAAGCCAGAGGACGAGGAGGACATAGCGTTAGCACAATCGAGTAATTCCCTTATTTGACCGATCTGGTTGGAAAAGTCCTGGTTAGGGGGGCTCGGAGTAGCAGGTACGGGTGCAGGAGCAGATGTTGGGGTTGAGGAAGCGATCTGGACGGATTCATTTGGGAACAGGGAGAATGGCGCGGGTCTTGTAGCGGATATCTGCTGGCGTCAGCCTCAGTCTCGTCCGAGTCCCATGAACTTGTCTTGACAGACTGCTTCCAGATGTCCTCGGCATCCACGGTAACGGCAGGTGGTTTCCTGGTGTGGGCAGTTTTGCTTGACATGACCTTGGGCACCACAGCCGAAGCATCATCCTCGCATGCGAGCTAGGAATGCCTCCCTAGTATTCCCATTACTAGTGTGGGTTGCATCAATGTCCATAGCGTGGGGGTCAGCCTGGGTAGTGTGAGCGGTATGTGTGGGAGCGTGTCCAGAATTTCGGCCAGTCATGGTAGGATCATGCAGGTAGACATCCACCGATATGGCGCATTTGATTGCCTCCTTCAGAGTCGGAGCAATTCCTTGGGCAATGTTTACGGTGATGAGATGTTGTCGGATCTCTGGGAGTAATGCTGTGAAGAAACATTCCCACAAATCAATATCAGACATTCCAGTCTGATCTCCGATATCCTTGAACTTCTGAGAAAATTCTGCAACTGTCTGCTCTTTACTTTGCCTGAGATTCTTGATCTCGCTACGGGCTTCCATACCTGGGTCCATTGGTTCAAACTGTTGGCCAAATTCCTTCAAGAACGTATCCCAATTTCCTCCGAAAGGGGGATTTTCTGCACTGAAATGTAGCAGATGGGGAGTTGCCCAATATCCGGCACTTTCTGTGAAGAAGCCCAAGGTGGACTTGATAAGTTTCACTTGGCTTTTGGCGAGATCAGGTTGTTCTGACGCCCAATTTTGGAACTGAGCCATGAAGGGACGAGCTTCAGCGCCATCTTTACCCTTGAAAACCTCGGGTTTGTTCATGCTTGACTTGGAGGATGAGCGTTTCTCCATAGCTGTAGCAAGGTTAGCTACTTGTCTGATGAGCTGAGCCATGAGATCCTCAGCAGAGGTATTTGGGGCAGGCGGGACAGGAGTCGACATAATGGGAGTAGGCAATCAGGGTTGGGGAATTGGCAGGAAGGATATATTGCTCACAGTAAGTGGCTCTTGGATTGAGTTGGGAAGGGCGTTAGGGCAAGGTTGAGACTGGCAATCGCGCCAATTATCGTCGTTGTTGTGGGCGTGAGCTTGGTCTCTGGGGTTGAGTGCGTGTGGGAGCGTGGAGCAGTCTATACTGGCAGCAGGTGTTTCAGAATCAGGCAGGACTGGGGAAGACGTGGTGTCTATGGATCCTGCAAGGACAACCTTATCGGCAGGCTGTCAGTGCAGTAATGGATCTTGACCTAATGTCACGAAGCGGCAGATGCTGAGTAACTTAGCGAAGCAGAAGAGCAGAGTGACTAAGCAAGGCAGTGAGGCGGAGCGACTAAACAGGTCAATGAGGCGGAGCGACTAAGCGGAGCGGAGGCAAACTGGTCCCAGATAATGACAGAGATATATTGAGTATCGTAGTCATAGGTAATAGTAAGTAAACACATACCTGGTCCCAGATAATGACAGAGAGGTCAAGATAAGGGACCAGGCTGTGGAGGGTTGGCTATATATACATAATCCGATCTGCGAGAAATGACGATGTAATACTGTACAGTTCAGGGGCAAGGAAGGTGGCGGAAGCCGATAGAAAGAGAAGGTGGGTCAGGTGGATCAGTAATCAATGGGGGTTGACAGCGATGGGATGATGTATTGTACAAGTAAAGGCGTCGAGACGGTGAGAAAGGGAAAATGATAGGGGCTGCGTACTTTATGACAGTCAAAGAGAATTTTGGTTACAATACATGCTCTACACACCGGAGAGTTTGACAAGTCAGAAAGAAAGCAGACTCGAGAACTCTCAGACACAATATATATGAGATTTAAAGAAAAAAGTGAGACAAATGATGAAGGCTAAGATGCAGAGCACCTGAGTCAGAAAAGGGCATATGGTTTTCAAGCATGCGGAGCATACCTGACTGACTAGGGCCTCACCGACAGAAAGGAGAATGAGATTCTGAGGCGTGCGGAAGATACACTGACTATCAGTGAGAGGTGAGAGGAGAAGAGAAGCTCAAGTCTCTTACCTTGTTGATTAGACTTTTGTAAACAGTTTTTAAATTCGTTTAAATTCACTGTGGGACATTAAACAATATTGAGTGAAGTGCCAAAATCAGCTTATAAATTCTACTCCAGTACGTCTCCTTATACATAACTCATTGCATGAGTTGTAGGTATGAACTAAAGCAAAAGCTCAAGTGTGTTTCCAGATGAGGATCAAGTGTACCAGAGTTCCAGATGGATGAGCGGGAGGAGAATAAATCAATAGATAGGTGCTCATTGTGTAATAATTGATAATACTTGAAGCACTGTTCCTTAAGTGTTGCATCGGAGCGGATTCACTTGAAGAGTTCAGCTTATGGCTATAGTGTGGCCAGTCATGGTAGAAGCTTTTTGCACCTGCTACTTACCCAGCAGTGCTGTTCTGTACTCTGAGAGAAGGATGCCAACAGGCTCTCTAGGTACAGTATGGAGCTTTCAACTCCCATTTCATTTACAATTTCATATTTGAACCGGAAAAAAAGAATTTAATTTGTATGAATTCCTTGCAAGTTCATGTTTTCAGACAATGAATTTAAATAAATCATGAGCTGAATGTATTGTGTACATACATTTTACAAACAGTCAAAGGCATCAATAGCAAAACAAATTGCAAACCTGTAAATGGAGTAAAAAAATTTTGAAGAAAGGGAAATAAGCAAGACATGATTTATATATAGTGAAAATATCAATGACAAAGATTTTGGAGCATTCAAAATATGAGATTTCATTGTTAGTTAATGGAGTGCACTGTTTTGCACCAGTAACTGCATAATGTTCTGATGGCCCAGGATTGAGGCTGCGTGGAGAGCATTCCTATATTTTCCCCCTTGTGCTTTAACATCAGCATTATTTTCCAGTAGCAACTTCACAATGTTTTCATGGCCCCTGCATGTGGCTGCCTGGAGAGCATTCCCATGTTCCCCCCCTTGTGCGTTAACATGAGCATTATGTTCCAGCAGCAACTTCACAATTGACTTATGCCCCTTATATGAGGCTGCCTGAAGAGCATTCCCAAATTGTCCCCCTTGGGCATTCACATCAGCATTTTTGTCCAGCAGTAACTGCACAATGGCCTGATTCCCATCCAATGAGGCTGCCTGGAGAGCATTCCCATATGCACCACCTTGTGCATTAACATCAACATTATTTTCCAGTAGCAACTGCACAATGTTGTCATTGTCAAAGTATGAGGCTGCCTGAAGAGCATTCCCAAATTGTCCCCCTTGTGCATTGACATCAGCATTATTTTTCAGCAGCAACTTCACAATGGACTCATCCCCATTCAATGAGGCTGCCTGGAGAGCATTCCCATATGCTCCCCCTTGTGCATTGACATCAGCATCATTTTCCACCAGCAACTGAACAATGGAGTTGTTGCACATGTATAAGGCTGCATGGAGAGCATTCCCATATTCTCCACCTTGTGCATTGACATCAGCATTATTTTGCAGCAGCAACTTCACGATGGATTCATGCCCATGATAAGCGGCTGCCTGGAGAGCATTCCCAAAGTGCCCCCCTTGTGTATTGACAGCAGCATTATGTTCCAGCAGCAACTTCACAATTGACTCATGCCCATTTAATGAGGCTGCCTGGAGAGCATTCCCATAGTATCCCCCTTGTGCATCCACATCAGCATTATTTTCCAGCAGTAACTTCACAATAACATCATGCTCATGATAAGCAGCTGCCTGGAGAGCATTCCTAAAGTGTCCCCCTTGTGCATTGACATCAACATCATTTTCCACCAGCAACTTCACAATGGACTCATGCCCATTCAATGAGGCTGCCTGAAGAGCATTTCCATATTGCCCTCCTTGTGCATTCACATCAGCATTATTTTTCAGCAGCAACTTCACAATGGACTCATGCCCCTTTGAGGAGGCTGCCTGGAGAGCACCCCCAAAGTATCCCCCTTGTGCATCAACATATTGCTTCACATTATGCACACTTTGTATAAGATGATTCACAGCCCCATACAATCCATTGAGGGCTCCATAGTATAATGGGCTTGTTGTGGATTTTTTCTCAAAAGAAACATGGTTGATGTACATTTCTTCCCATCTTGAAAACTGTACACTGTTTTTCAACATTGCACATATCAAATTCTGACTTTGGCCTTCTACTTTGAGCTCCTCTACCCTTGATGCATGTGAGAGCCAATATTCCACAGCATATGCAACAAAAGACTCGCTATTGACTGAAGTATCATCATATTGCATAAGGTAGATGATGGTTGTTTGGGTCATTATATCATGAGCTAAGTGTTCATTGAATGACAATGAATCATCCATCTTTTTGGATTGCGAATATGAAATGAGATATTCCTTGACTGATGCATGGGCTAGTTGAATGATATCATCCTGTCCTACAGTCACAAATGTAGAGGGAATAACCTCCTCCACCTGAAGGTCCATTTCATCAGGATCAAACTTTTGCTCCAAGAGGTCAATTTTCCATATTTCATTGACTTTTGTTCTAGTCAATGGCTCAAAAGCATAGAGCAGCCACAGAAGTAGATGTTGTACATCTTCTTTTTCACCTTCTGTTAACCTTCCTAAAGCCTGGTCATATGTGTCTTTGAGAGTTGCAGGTAATGTCTTCAAAGCTTCTTTTACATCCCTGTTCCTCTTGCATTTCTGCAACTGCATCATTTGGCAGTCTACCCAGCGAAATCTGAGACATTGTCTCATATCAGCTGATTCTCAAGTTGATTCTAAAAAATACTACTCACATTCCATGAGCACCTTTGTTCAATGTATCCTTTATTTCCCCAATAATGTCACCTTTGAACCGTGGTTGATCATGAATCTTGAGCTCAATGTAACTTGCAATATCCTCATCAATTTTTGATTTTGGGCCAAGTTGAATTTGAAGCCCATTTTTTCCAACGAATTCTGGTTGAAATCTGCTTGTCACAACAATTCTCAACTGATGTGAGAATGCAGCCAGCCAATTCAACACCTTGTCTGCATCTGCCTCTTGGCATTCATCCAATGCATCAACAGCAATGGTCATGTCATTTCTGTCTTTGATCATTGTTTCCAATATGTTCTCAAGTTCCTGCTTTGTGAGTTGTCCAAATGACTTTGACTCATAAAGGGTGAGGAGAGCAGGGTGGATTTTCCGACCATCTAGCCCTATTTGCTGAGCCAGAGATAGCAAGAACCCACGATATGTAGTCTGTGACTCCGTGTTATCCCGGATATCAAAATAATGATACCAGACAGGACTTTTTTGGTTCATGTTTTGCAGGTTTTCAGTGATTGTCGTACTAGAATGTTCTTAATCAATGAATCTGAGCTGTACTTATTGTCATCACATACATTAGAAAGGTCTTTCCTGACCCAGCTATAGTTTCTGATAAGTTAAAACATTCCTTCCCTTAAGAGAATAATCAAACCTGGTCCTTGAATCCACAATATGCCAGGGGAAGATCTCCATTCCTTGTATGTATCAACTTCAAATATCCATTGGCCAGTGCCTGAGCATCTGTTGTCTGCTGCAGTCACAAAATTGGCTGAACAATCTGGTGCATTGAGCCATTTGTGTATCTTATGGCTATCATCATTTGCTATAGGATATAATGTATTCAGTTCCAAGCAATATATGGACAGTTTTTTTGACTGACTGATGACTGTAAAATTTCCGCCATAAATGGCAAAATCACTTGCATAGGGAAACATGCTGTGAATGTTAATTGGGTTGTCAGTTATAGTAAATGAAGAGTAAACTGAGACCACTATACCCAGCACTCATTGGTTAGGATTACCTGCAAGGAACACATAAGGTCGAAAAATTCAAGAACTGGACAAATTGAACACACTAACTGTTAGTGAACTCTTGCAATGAGCAATGGTGGTAGTCAAATAAAAAGGAATGATGGGATTCATCGAATCACTGTCATCTTTTATAAGCTCTGAAATTAGAGTTTGATTGTCATTGGGTCATGCAACATGTCCCAGCCATGATTCTGGGTACTGGTAACTATATAGGGAAATATTTCCCTGAAGTGCTTTCCTATGTGTCTTTTTCAAGTCTCTATAGAACGTGGTAGCTGTAGAGAATTTATTATGAATTCTTCACCTCTTACTATGATTTACACCAATGTTATCCCTTACCATGCCAGTCTGGTTCAGAGCAGATGCCTTGGAAGCCTGACACAACAATGAATTACTCCCCTATTGTAGCTAAAAGTAAGGCAGATTATACACCAGGCTAGTCAATGTCAAGCTGATTTGTGAAAAAAACGGGTACCTGGGCCTAATCCAGCATTGAAGCACTTATATATTATTGGACTACTGCTCAATCATCATAACGTCTCTCCCAGGTGTCTCCCACGTTCCTCTTCTCTGAACTCTCTAGCATTACCTTAACATGGGATAGATAGAATACAAGTGGCGGAAATTCCTTCTCTCAAGAGTTTTTTCTGGTAATTATTTGTTTACCTTTCTCCGAGTCCTTCTCCTCCTTTCCCTCTTCATCCTCTCAGATTCCTCAATGGTGACCCCCAGTCTCCCCTCTGCGTCCTCGATGTCTACTCTGTCCCTGCGATCCTGAAATGATCCGTGAAACTGGAAACACCTCAACCAGTTTGTCTTCCTCCTCTCATCAGTGACTCCGCCTAGCTTGAAGCAATGCTTGTCTCTCAAGCTTCGGATCTCGGCTGTTTGTGGTGGAAATGAGCGTCTCCAGTAGCTACGTTGGCTAATTTCTATCTGACGATGTGGGAGGAGTATCATACCGGTGCGTATCTCATCCTTTATTGTGGTTCTGATTTGCTCGTTCCATCACTTTCACGTCGTTTGCTTGCCTTACCTCGGTGTCTTCTTCGGACCCGTAGAAGGAATCTTAATTCTCGTCGTTATATACATGATCACCGGCGTCTATGGTACATATTTTTCTCATCAACCACTCTTCTCCTCCCCCAGCCTAACCCACCCATTATTTTGTCCCCAGGTCCAGCCTTCTGGTACACCCCCATTCTTAAATTTTTCCACCTCTCCCATATTCCCTTAATCACCAACACCATCACCAACACCATCCTCAACATCGGCCTAAACATCTCTTTCATGGTATTCGGCGGGCCACTAGCATTTGCAGTGCCACCTGCAGTGGCAGTCACTGCATAGTATCTGCACTCCACTGCAGTGTACCTGCATGCGCCTGCATTACACTCTCGGCATATAAATGCCGGCATTTATATGTATCTTGTCTGATTGTGTCATGCAATTTTGAGTTCATATTTGCCGCATGTTCAACTATTTCAAGATACGCATATGCACATTGAGTTGATATCTTGCTTGGTTTACAAATGAATGTAAGTCATATATGCTTAGTTATGTCACAAGCACTTGGGGTTCAAAACTGCACATAAGAACCAGTAGTAGACATATTCACAATATTTACTTGTGCCTATCATTGTACTCACCCATCTGCAAAACCTAGATGATCATGACAACAAGGGTACTAGCTGGACATCACTGTCCAGCCAAAAGCACTGAAAGCAATTTCTAGAAACTACTTGAGTGGCAGTCAGTCTCTTAGACAAAAATCCAGGATGTACAGATGTATCAGCATGCTCCTACCTCTTACCTGCATTCACCTGGACTGTAACTGCATGCACTTGCACTGTAACTGCACACACCTGCATTGTGACCTCATGCAACTGCACTGTAACTGCACTGTAACTGCACACACCTGCACCTCACCTGCACTGTGACTGCACACACCTGCACCTCACCTGCATTGTGACTGCACACATCTGCACCTTACCTGCACTGTTACTGCATTCACCTGCATTGTTCTTGGCACTTACTTGCAGTCTCACTGTGGGCAATAGGGCTCTGTACCTTTGCATGGAAATCATTGGAATCATTCTGGGTCATTTGTGAATAGTTAAGATTATGAAGGGAAGGAATTTGCATTGCTGATTTGGGCCAATAGGGCTGGAATATCATAAAAAAGTCATGATGGAAAACATTCTTCCAATCTCATGGTATTGCCAGGTTGAGGTTGAAGAACCTAAATAAGAGACATAGAGCCATGTATAAACACTGGATAAGGACCTACAAAAACAAGTTAAACTGTAGGAGATACTTGATATAATGAATACTTTGATTGGAAAATTCGAGGGGACAGTGTATGTATTGTTATACATTCATTTTTTGCTTTTTGGAGTTCTCCTTGGCCAAATTATCATCATTTATCCACCGCTTTTTGACTTGATTAGGCCGTGCTTTTGGCTGATTGCTGAATGTATTTATTAAGTGTTGTTTCTGGTCATCTATAAAATCTGGGCCATGCTACGTCAAATCAAACAACAATCAGAAAACATGTCTTTATTTGAAATATAATTTACCTACCTGGCACTCAACCTCATCATCTCCTTCACGTTTGTTTGTGCAATGGCTTTCAGGACCATACTCTAGCCAGGGATTCCAGTTTTGCAGATGAGATCCAGCATCAAGACCCCATTGTTGATTTCCTGCAACTCCTGCATCCTCAGAAATATCAAAAACTGATTTTTCGAGTAACTGCAATGCCTCTAGATCCACATCAACTCTTTCATACAACTTGTCCTTCCCATCAACTGTTTTCCCTGTCCAAGCTACAAGTCTATTAAATGCTAGTTCAACTATACTGGCCCCTTCTACTTCATGAATGAATTCTGATTGATGCCGGTGCAAAAGTACCAAGGTGCGAGCATGTGCAATAGGTAGGGCACCGATCCATATATGCTGCTTTTGTGAAGCACCTGGTATCACTGTATAGAACCAGTTATTGATACGAGCACAATCATCTACAGTGAGTCCTCCAGAGTGCTCTATGGCTTTGGTAGCTCTTTTCATGCCAGCTTGCCATTTTTTGGCTGGGCACAAACTATCTATAACACTATCTGGATTATTCATAAGTTGAGTCAGTATTCCTATATTTGGTTGTAAAGCCCTGTCAATCTCAGAACTGAATGGAAGGAACTTTGGATCTTCCCAAGCAGCCTCTGCTTGTTCCTCTGCAATAAATGCTCGTACCCATTTGCCAAGCTGTAAATGGGTCAGCTAACCAATATTATCCATTCATTGACTCTTACCCGAATTCTCCTCCTGGCTGCTCTGTTCTGCCATAACTCATCTTTAATATCTTCAATAGATACCTTGGCAATCTTTCCAGGTTGTTGTGAAGAACCAGGTGCAGGTATATTGTGCCTCCACCATCGGATAGAGCAAAACTTATGGCCTTTCTGAATGAGACGGGCAGGGAAGAAAAATAAACCATCCCGGACCAGAACACCTTTGCCATTGCTGTAGAGAGTTTAGAGAAAATAATCAAAGGATTTGTTCAATGGAACATACAATATACGTCCCGATATTGCCTTGGGAGTATCAGCTGCACTATACAAAATGTTATTATAGATCAATCTGATTGCAAAAATACACATACGGCCGTGTTGATCTTCTCAAATTTTGCATTAACTTCTCTTGTATCCTTTTAAATTGCCATGGGTCATCAACTCCACAAATGGGACATATAAAGTCTTGTATCAGTGCTGTAGTACGTTGGGTTTGGCAAGCTTCATGTGACCATATTTTCTTGCATACAGTACAGATTACTATATTTTCTTTTACCTCTTGTTGATGACCATCTGTTTCTACTCCACAGCGACAAATCACATGTGCAGGGGAGCTAGGTGGTGGAGAACTAGAGAAAACATTGACATCTGTTGGTGACTGAGGGTGTGCAGAGTCTCCAGTAATGTCTTGTAGAATAGTGGCATATTCATCTGAGTCAATAGACATTGTAGAGTGAGGGGCTGAGGAGATGGAGGATGCAACAGATGGTGTTTTATATGGTGTGGAGAGTGGTAATGTTTGAGCTTGGAAATCCTGATACTCTATAGGAGCATTTCCACGGTTCCTATATTTTTTAAGTTCACCAGAGGAGAGCCAGGTCTGATTATTGAGAGGAATAAGAGAAAATTTGGGAGCAAGAAATAAGGTTGAAGCATTGAGTAGTGGATATCTTGAAGATGTGTTGGGAGTGATGGAAACTTGTAAATGTTTCTGCAGTAATGAAATCTGTCTATTGCTGAACCATGCCTGAGCAGCAGTACCTCCTTTTAGATGATACATGACAGCACAAGTCCTGTACCCCAAATTCTGATAATCTTCTGGCATCACTGGGAAACGGCCACCCAGTAAGTGATCAAGCTTGCCTGATTCTCTCTGTGCTTGTCCACCATGCTGCATTCCATCATAAAAGAAGACTCCTGTTGCATGTTTTGGAGTATCAAGAGAAGTGGCAAAGCGGGTGACAAAGTGATTCTGGTTGGAAAAAACTCGTGCTGTCATTTCATAGACAAACTGATGTTTCTTTGCTTCATCACCAGCAACAGGATATAAAATCCGTGGAAAGTCCCAAAGCTGATTGTCTTCAGGGTGAATTGTCACACACCAGAAAACTGGGAGCCCTATAATAATATCTACAAGTTGTGTTTTCTGTGTATCATTGCAGGATTGACGCCAGCATCGGATTTGTTGACCTGCACACTGGTCCAAACTTTTATTGATAGTTGTCAAATTCCGAATCCAGTCCTGAAAATAGCCTTGACAGCTTGACCATTGGTGTGCAAAAGGACCTTGAGTGGCTCTGGGTGCAGGTCCAGGGTGTGGGGAAGTGAGTTGAATATGGACAGGGGTGGCATTACAGTACCGTATGGATATTGAATAAGCAGCAAAAAGATGAGATGCACTCTTCTGTGTATCTGTAACAGTGTTTGGGTGGTTGATTGGAATGTCTATACAGGCAGAGAACCAGGTCTATGATTTGCTCAAGTATTAGATGAATAACACACCCTCATTCAATATTACTTACCATCAAGCTGTCTACAGATGTTGTGCTACCTCCATATGACAACACATTGCTCTTGTCCTCTTTAATGTATTGCCGTATTGATTCACGGTGAGATGTCAATTGGTCCTGAATGTCTTTGTTACTACCAACAAGCAGTAAGCGCCGTGCCCTCAGCAAGCAATATATGGGATGGAAGAGATGATGCTCTGCAGATGAGGTCTCGAAGACTAAGGCAACCTCATTCCAGTTACAATTGAGAAGCCAGAATAGAACCTCAAGACTTGTATCTAACCAGCAGGAATTATCAGCCCATTTGTAAGAGGGAATCATCTTCAATGTAGATGAAACAAGAATTGTTGACCGGGACTCTACCTGTTTCAGACAGAAATCCCTGTTAACATTCTCAACAAGGGTATCCTTTGAGTATCTGGCAAGGGCATCATGAGGAATTTGAAGAACTGGGCTGGATGCTTCAGACTTGTTGGGAGAATTAACAGGGAGGGATTGTGGATATATCCACAAAGCTTGAACTTCAGGAGTTTTGGTACCCTGTGTAAGCCACTGCTTCATGAATGCTGAACTTGAGGAAATTACTAATATAAAATGTCTCAGTCTATAAAATGGCAGTAAATATGTGTTTGAATTGCTACCAGTGCCTCCATGCAACCCTTCTATGGTACCACCTGCATTTTCCTGTGATTTATCTGTTGTATATATGAATTTTCACTAATACAATTAAATTTATCAGCTCTTTACCTGATATCTCATTCCACTCCACTGTTCCACCTGTAATGCCTGTCCACTCTTCTGCATTAGGCTGGGAAGGTTCATCTTACATATGGAATCCATGGTAAACTCAAGCAAGTAATATAATCAAATCATACCAGTCTTTGTTATGCCAGACCAATCATCAATATGAAAGGAAGTAGCAAGTGTTTTTGTCTTTACAGGCTTGAACACCCGTTGTTTCCGGGAGGTAAGTGATGACTTGGCCTTAGAGTTTAATTTTTGACGCAACAGACGGTTATCATCTGGGGGTCGACCATCATTATGATACTGCTGTTTTCGTATTTTGATAGCTTTCAGGGCACGTGAACGTTTAGTACGGCCTATCTTTGCTTTCAATGCTTGACGGACATGTAATGGTGGTTTGCCCCAATGTGTTGGTTGACCAACTAGAGAAACAATCAGCAAACTGAAGTCTTATGATAACATATTTGTAAC